AGGCTTGTTGTTCTTTACAGAAAGCTTTGTCAGGTTAAAATTAGTTTGACGGCAGGTGCCCACCAAAGCTGCTCCATCACTCCCCCTTCTCAGCTGGACAGGGGAGAGAAAAATACAACGAAAAGCTCGTGGGTTGAGATAAGGACAGGGAGGTCACTCACAAAATACCGTCATAGGCAAAACAGACTCAATTTGGGGAAATGAATTTAATTTATTGCCAATCAAATCAGAGCAGGGTAATGAGAAATAAAACCAAATCCTAAAACACCTTCCCCCCACCCCTCCTTTCTTCCCGTGCTCCACTCCCAATTTTCTCTTCCTCCTCCACCCCAGTGGCACAGGGAGGGGAATGGGGGTTGTGGTCAGTTCATAGCAAGTTTTCTCTGCTGGTCCTTCCTCCTCACACTCTTCCCCCTCCTTCTTCACTGACCTTGGTGTCTGCAGAGTTGTTCCTCTCACATACTCTCGCTCCTCTCTTTAGCTGCAGTTGCCTAAGAGTTGCAGTTGTTTGTATTCTTAAATGCGTTATCACAAGAGGCGGTACCACCGTTGCTGATGGGCTCAGGCTTGGCCAGCAGCAGGTGTGTCTTGGAGCCAGCTGGCATTGGCTCTATCTGACATAGGGGCAGCTTCTAGCAGCTTCTCACAGAAGCCACCCCTGTAGCCCCCCTGCTACCAAAACCTTGCCACACAAACCCAATACATGTCTACAAACAAAGAAGAAATTGTGTACTGAAGAAGAAAACAAAAGATTCTACTACTTCATTTTTTCAGAGTATAGAATTGGTCAGTTTTATCTCCCTGAAGAGGTTAAATGTTCCTGGAAAGCAGATTTTAAAGGGTTTGGAATGCATGTAAATAGCCACTATTTAGTGCAGGTGGCAGGTTTTCATGTTTATTACTGTGAAGAAAATCCTGAGGCCATGAGTAGGAACTGTCAGTGTCTTTTCACTGATGAGAAATGCCAGATGTTGCATGTAAGAACTATACCCACCTTAGAGGCTTTTGAGAAAATCACTCTTTGATTTTGAACAATAGATCAAGTTTGTCCTATAATCAAGTTCCATTTATAGACCTTGAAAGTAATCTTTGTGTAATGGGAGTGGGAAGATCACTATCCACAGTCCCTTTCACCACTTACGAGACTTGACAAGAAATAAGTCTGGGACAGTCTGGGCATTAAAAAGGTTCAGGATTTGTCCCTGTGGAATTCTGCCTCAAAGGTGAAGTGCCAGCTGAAAAGCACAGCATCTTTATCTTCAGAAGACTTGGCTGTGATGAAGATTCATTACTGTCTGATGAAAAGTTTAAAAAAAAAAAGTGGAGGATATGCTTTGTCTTACCTATTGGCAGTACATGGTCATTTTGCAATTCCAGACTCACACTGTATGTCTTTTCATAGCAAAAGTGACAAGATTTTAGTAGATGTGGGCTATTCTGTTTGCT